ACAGGGACTATGATTGGGAAAACAAAATATTTTCCTCCACAGGTCACAATGATGATCTATGTTCTGATCTGAATTGTTCAACTACATAATTGAGTTGGGAAGTAGTCTTTTCTTTTAATCACGAATAGTAGATTCATTCCTTTTGGGCACATAAGACTATTTGTATCTATCTATATAAAATGGGAAAGGTCCTATCAAAGTCAGGGTAGACTCAAAGATTTCTCTGACCTATTAATAAAGTGAACTCTAAGATTCAAAACAAAGTTAGCTTACTTTTGTTTTCGACAGTCTCAAAACTACAGCTCGCCAGTGTATAATGTCAGAGTAAAGCTCTTCCAAGTTACAGTTTTTATATATTATTCAGCAACTTAAAACTGCACTGAAGATTTTATTGCTTTAAATAGGCTTCCAAATGTACAGATTTTTTGCATGTATTTCTCTATATGATTGAAAGTTTCAGTGCGAGCAGTACATTAGTGTTCTGCAGTAAAATCTAAACTGTGAGAAATAATGTAATGAGAATGCTTTTGGCAGACTAAAAAGTCTTGGTGATAGGTACTTTTTGAAGATAGGAGATGCTTTTTCTCTATAACCCAAATATCAGTATTAATAATTTCTCCTTTTCAAATGATGTTGATAAGATTAACAACAAAAGTGAAAGTGTTTATATTCTGTAATAGTTGCAGGCTTTGAGACTTTAAACGCTAACCCTAGAACGTGGATAAATGGAAGATATAAAGTAGAAGCAAGAAAATAAAATAATGGGAACCATTCTGTCAAAGAAATATCTCTTTATTTATAAGATCTGGCAATAACTCTTTTGCAGTGCTAGGTTACATGATTGTTATAAATGTGTCCTAAATTGCTTAGCTGAACAAAGACAAAGATGATCTGGCGCAGGACTGCCAATAACATTTTTTTGTGATGACAGAAATGTTCTATTTTGTAGTGTCCAATAGGGAAGTCACTAGTTACATGTGGCTCTTGAGCACCTAAGGTTAAAAGGTGGCTGATGAGAGGGAGAAAATAAATTTTAAATTTTATTTAATTTTAATTTGCATTTAAATTGCCACCCAATTAAATCTGGCCACCCTACTGGGCAACATAAATCTACAGAAAGATGATGTTATTTTGCTTCTAGGTTTACCTGGGCAAGATCCTAGATAAAAAGGTCAAAAGCTAAGAGATCATAGAGTTTTCTTGTTCTTTATCTATCTAGCATAGGACCTGTAAGAATGTAAAATAAACAAAACTGTAGTCAAGTTACTTAATTACATGGCTTAATGCGTGTAGCTGACACACAGAGCATACACAGAATGTGAACTTCTAATGTAAAGGTATCATTAGCCAATGGAGAATCCAGCTCTCCTCAAGACCTTTCACGCTGACGAGAACAGCCATCACACCCAAAGGGGGGCTGTTTTATGATCCTATGTACATATATTGAGTGAATATAATGTACATGAATATATGTGCTAGGTGGAGATACCATATTTACTCAAAGATCTGACTGCTTATTTTTCCAGGGAACTTAATGCTGTCTGACTATAGCATGCCAGTTGATCAGTTTATTCTTTCCCTTCCCTTTGCAGTAGGCCTTCTCTACTGGCTGACTCAACCCCAATTATTAGCCACTAGAGGTGGTCTTATTGCACAGATCTGGTGCTCCGTTTCCTGGGAATCCCACTGCTTTCCTGATACAAGCACTGCCCTGTCTCCTTTTACTTCCTGCTGGAATGAGTATGTTCCAAGGGAGATGCCGAGAAGGACATGGACACTTCAAGGCTGACATTGCTGAGCCACTGAGCCAATGTCAGTCATCTGCCTACCTCTGAACTGCTCAATAAGTGAGAAAAATAAATCTCTGTTAGGTAAGCTAATGAACTTGAGTTTTCTGTTATTTGAAATTGAAAGCAATCCTAATGGATACATTTTTCTTCTGTGTTGAGTTATTGGCACACCAGAACACTTGTACTTAGTTATTTTTCATTTGTTCATTTACCTATTTAATAAAAAATGTGTTCGGGATAGTTACTATGTGCAAAGCTAAGTGCAAGGTAATATGGTGGACAAACAGCCAATGTTAATACCCTCACAGAGCCAACATTCTCATAAGACACAAAGACCAGCAAACATTTAAGTAGTGAGGTAAGTACTATGATAGGGAGCCTATGATAGGGGGCCTAAAGAGTGTGCACTTTGGGGTTGGTAGTTAGAAAAGTCTTCCCGAAGAAATTGTTATTTACACTGAGACATGAATAACAAATAGAATGTAACCAGGCAAATGTGTGTGTGTGTGTGGGGGGGGGGGGGTCAGGTCAGGAGGTAGTAGAGAGGACAGAACATAGGATGAGGAAATGAAAAGAGCTCAGTGTTACCTAATTACATGTAGGGAGTGCTGGGAGGGAAGATTGAGGAAGAGCACAAAATTAGGCTTGAGTTTTAAGGAAAGGCTGAATCATACAAGACCTTGAAATCATTTGAAGGAATATAGATTGCCTTTAAAGAATAATGGATAAGCCACAAGAGGCTTTAAAAGTGGGAGGAGGGCAAGCTACATAAATACAGTGTATTTAGAAAGACCATCCTGCATTTTATGTACAGAATGGATAGGAAGTAGGAAGACTAGAAGGAGGGATATCCGTTAGGTGAATGATGTGGTCACTGAGGCAAAACATGACAGTTGAGGAGGAGGGATAAAGAAAAGTGGCTGGATTTGAAATCTATTTCAGCAGTAAATAGCTTCGTGATAGCTTAGCTATTGGGGTTGTAAAAGGAAGAGTCAAGCATGAGTTTCCATTTGGCAACTGAATGGGTTGTGGTAATGTTCACTGGAGAGGGATCATAGGAAGAAAAGTAGGCTACATTTAGAGAAAGGTTGGAAGAGGGCAAAAATGAGTTCAGCTTTGGGCCCATTCAGTTTGAAGTTCCAGAAGGATATTCAAATGGAAATAAGTCAGTAGGATATATAGGTCTGAAAATCAAAAGATCATTGTCAGCTGCAAATGATACAAACGGATAGTCATCAGTGGACTGAAACTACACAAGTAGATAAATTTTCAGAGTACTTGTGAGAATGGAACAGGGAAGAACTTTAGAAGCTTCAGTAAAATTAATTTGGTAAACTTCAGATTGTGTATGGGCCAGTGGAAAATGTAATTTAGCTTCTAACATTCTATTTTGACTTCACCCATTGGAGAAATAAGTACATACCTTCCTTGGGTGGTAGATTTTTATGGGCTTAGTCAAAAAAATATAAACTGAAAGCCCCCCTCTGAAGAATCCAAAGACCTCAAAAAAAGTGATTAAGAGAACAAAGAGAGGTTCTGGAACATTGGAGAAGCATGGGAATGTGGAGACAGGGGACTTTCAGAAAGAGTGGCATAGAGGGGATAGATCTCCCTTGAAGCTCACATTTTGCACGAAAAACAAGCTTTCTTTTTGGCCCCTTATTAGCTTACACCCCCTAAACTCACCATATTAATTTCTGATCTTATTTTGTTTCCCCAAAGAAGCCTCTCTTGGAGAAGCAGGCATTTCCCACTGATATCTAACTATAGAGTCTCTGATACCATTTGATCACATATAAATAAGTCTGCCTAAGCCTAATCTGCCTTTATTAAACTCAACAGATATCGGGTCTGTATTTAAAACTCAAAGTTCAAACCTTGCCACTGAGAGAAGGCAGTAACTTGAAGAATTTTTTCCAATTATCACTCCTGTATTCAAGCTCACCCTCTCTCCACCAGGGTCCTTTAGATGGGGCCCCAAATAGAACCCCCCAACTTCTAACTGAATCTTCTTTTCCATAGTCATCTGAACACCAACTGTTTGGAATTCAAGATGGCCTTAGGGCCACCAGCATAAATCTAGTTTCTCAAGAGGTTTCTCTTTAATCCCTGATTCCATTTCAAGATTTACTCGCTTTCACAATTTCCATATATCAGTAGCTCATGGCTCCTAAGAGTTTCTGCTCTTAGTTCAAAATCTGTTGTTGTTGTTTTTTCCCTCTTGATGGTGGCGTTTTCTTCTTCATTAAGGCCACCAAATAGACTTCTTCAGAAATTCATGTCATCTTGGACTTATTTACCTTTCACTGTGGTCTTCCTCATCAGTGTACAGGTAGGTATTCTTTTTGCCCCTATTTTCTGACAGAACTAAAAATGAGGACCCAATAGTCCTTAACATACCATAGCATGAACAAGTTTATGCAAAGGGAGTCATCATTCAACACATATTTACCAGCTTCCCACTATATCACTTGGTTCAAGACCTCTGGATGTGTAAAGTAATAAAGACAGTCTCTGTCGTCGGGGAGTTTAGACTAATATGAAGGACAAACATTAAACAACTAGTTACATAATTCATGTTTTTATTTAAAATTAGGATAAATGCTATTAAAGAAAAGCACGAGGGGTTAAGAGAGTGGATAATAAAGACACAGAACCTGGTTTAAGGAGGTAGTGTCTCTAAGAGCTGTTAATTTCCACTGACATAGAATGGGAAATGAAGTTATGAGTCACGTTAGGCTACATGGATTTTCCCATTGCGTATGTGGAGTGAGAAACAAAGATGGCACCACAGACAGCTATAATTTCATCATGAAACCCAACGTGACTTTCTTGTCAGATTAAAAGTGGGGGCAGCATGTGCCACTGTGGAACAGAATGATATTTCTTTGGGTACACTTCTCAAAACATATTGATAAATGGCTCTTCTGGCTATAAATCAGTATTTTGTGTTTGCCTAAACTCTTAGTTATTTCACTACCTTTGCAACTGCAGGCAAATCCTTTAATTTCACCAGTATTCATGTCCCTCTTTTTTAAAATTCTAGAGGACTTAGGCAAGCCTGTGAATTCTGTTGGCATCTGTCACCTTGGATCCTCCGAAGCCCCAGTTTAGCAGAATCAGGAAAACAAATCTGCGTTGTCCACCCATTGACACCACCACATCCATCACTATAGTCAACAACGGGTTCAGAAATAAAGTAGTTCCTACCTTTTATGAATGCTTGCCCAAGAGGCATTGATGTTCTCTGTTATCATGTGTACTTTTCTCGTATCATCTGAAGAATAATCCCGGAGAAGTTTCAGTGCCAAATCATTTGCCACATCTACATTTATCTGCCACTGGCGGAGGTCTTTGGCCAACTGCTACGGATGCATATGGGAAAGAAAATGAATGTCAGTTCTCTCTGAAATTTTGAGTTGCTGTTTCTCACAATTTTTCATAAATAGCTTTTGAATCCTCAGGTCAGAACAGCTCTACATGATTACTTTGAGCCTACCCTGTGTAGTAGTCAACTGTGACAGTATGAACGAACCCACTTTTCATGACAAAACTTTTCAAATGCAGCATCTTGAGCAATCCTCGGTATCGGGTATTTCGATTTAGTAGCAATTAATTGGAAATCAACTGGGCTTAATTGTTTTTCTCATGGGAGAGAACAAACTATAAAAATAAGCTCCCACATAATTGTTGAGTATGAGGCATATATAAAATTTGAATGGAAGACAAATCTCACGTATTTCTTTCCTTCTTTATTAACTTGTTGAATTGTTTATGTAATTAGTGCCATCTACTGGCATTCAACTACAGCTGCATATAGAAAATACTAAACATCATAAGAATAGCAGTTATTCTAGTTATGAACTTTCTTTTGAAGCACCAGTTTACTCAAAATACTTTAACAAATATCCAACTTTAAAATTAGAATAAAATCTGAAATGTAAGAATATTGCTAAACCAAATGACCTACGTTTTCTTGTTTGTGTTTGATAATTGAGTATTACCAAGCTATGTTTCATTACTTAAAACACCACACAAAAAATAAATAAGGCAATGACAGGATTATCTGGAAGCATACTAACCACTGCTATAAGTGCATGAAGGAGGCATCTAAGCATTGAGGTAATATTCAATTGCTAAGATAGCTATATCAAATCCCAAATGGTAGGTAAAGTCATTGATAAATGGACAAAGGATCACGAGTAAGTTATTCAAGCAAGAAAAAGACTAAAAGATTTATATTTTAAAAATTAACTTTAAAACAATAAAGAAATTGGAGCGCCTAGGTGGCTCAGTCAGTAGAGTGTCTGACTTCGATTCAGGTCATGATCTTGTACTTCATGAGTTCGAGCCCTACATCAGGCTCTGTGCTGACAGCTCAGAGCCTGGGGCCTGCTTCGGATTCTGTGGCTCCCTCTTGCTCTGCCCCTCCCTTGCTCATACTCTGTCTCTCTTTCTCTCAAAAATAAACATTAAAAAAATAGAGTATTAAATCAAGATGGCATAATTTGACACCAATTAAATTATTGAAAAGTAAAACCCAAAGCTGGAAGGACTGTGGTAAAACTAGCATATCCACGTGCTACTGCTGGGTGCAATTTCTATCAGGACATTCTGGCAATAGATATCAAATGACATATGAATGCTTATTCCCATTGACCTGGTAATTATACTTTTGGTATTTTCTCCTAATAAAATATTTAAAAGAAGAGAAATACATTATAGGAATAAAGAGCATCATTACCTATTATAGTACAAAAAAATGAGAAAATTTCAATTTTTAATGAGAGAACATTAAAATAACACAACATATCAACCCAAGGGTCTAATGTGCAGTAAATGTGCATCCAAGTCATAAGTAACAAACAAAACACAATTTCTATCTGTACTGTATTTCTTAAATCTGTAAGTCATGAACTAGAAGAGGAGCAGAGGAAACTGAAATTAATTGGTGTTTCTGAAGAGTGGTCATTTTTGTTTTAATATTTGTTCTTTCATGTTGGTATGATGTTTACATAATAAAATCAAACTAGTAATTTTGGCATAGTTAAAGTATATTTGTGTGGACTCCTATTCCTTGAAAATGTATAATGTATATAAAATCTGGCATTTCTCAGTTAACTAGAATATCCTCTTCTTTATTTTAACATTTATTTATTTATTTTCAGAGAGAGAGAGGGAGAGAGAGACAGAACAAGGGAGGGGGAGAAAAAGAGGGAGAGAGAGAATCCTAAGCAAGCTCTGTGCTGTCAGTGCAGGGCCTGACGGGGCTAGATCTCACAAACCGTGAGATCATGACCTGAGGCAAAATCAAGAATCAAACGCTTAAATGACTAAGCCACCCAGGAGTCCCTAGACCATCCTATTCTTGAATCAAATAAAATAACTGCATTTATTGCATACAAAAATAGACCCAAAAAAATTAGTACCAAGGATCTACAGCCAACATTACTAACTTTCTCTATGAAAAGATAAAGGGAAAGAGTTTTTAAAGGCACAGAGTACAGTTGCTGTGCTACAAAGCAATTAAAGTTTATCTGGGTGGAATGTCTGCCTTCCTTTACATACTCATTTTACCCGGCCTTGTGGCTCTCCCATTTTCCACTTTTTGGATCCTCACACTGTTCAAAAGCCTTTATAAGGTAAAACGTACACTCCCTAGGATTTCCCTTTCTAGAAATGTCTTACGGTACAAGATTACCTTTCTGTCCCTTCCCCTCCTTTAGCCAAACCTACAGTGTTAATGTGTACTGTAAGTAGCCCTTTGTATCCATAAGATGGCATTTGCATTTTGAAGAAGAGCTTATTATCTATTATCTATTAAATCCCTAACTCGTAGGATAAGAATTCACAAAACTGAGACCAATAACTTGGTTACCTTTCTTCAAGTTACTTCCTTTTTAAGAATACCTTTCTCTATTAAAGAAATACAATAAACCAACATCAGAGCATATGTATATACGTTTAGGAATAGAAAACACAAATTAAAATTTTAATAAATGTAATTAATACCATTTATGTTACCTAATAAAGATGAATGATTTTGGAAGTCACCTCTCACTCATGGGCTGCCACTTGAAAATTCTAGATTAATAAGGATATACGGTCTTTGGTTTTAATCTACAGATCATAAGAACTGCCTAGAAATTTCAGTTGAAAAGCATGGTAGAATTTTCCAAATTCTTGAAGGAAATAGAAAGCTAAAGATAGAGACTTCATTGTCAAGAGGTAAAAGAGTGAGGCTTGATTTCCAAACAGAGCTTTTTGATAAACTTTAATTCTTGAAAGACAAAAAAAGCACCAGCCATATACTTTTCTTCAAATTTGTATTCACATTGATATTCAGATTTTCATTGTGAAGGAAATCTGCCTAAGCCTTCACCATCACTGAAGGCTGTCTAGGTTTTGAGAGGATGTAGGATTAAAAAGAAGAAACTCCCACTGACCTTGAGTAACATTGACAGGGCAAAGGCCCTTATCTAAACTCCAAGGTTCTCAACTACAGCATTCTTGTCTCTCTTGTTAAAGACATTCACCGGAAAACACTGTTTCCCTTCCTCCTAAGGTAATATGTTTACGACCTGGGCTTTAATCAAGTGTCCTTCAAGCTAGGAACAATGACCTTGACCAGTTTTGCCTACTACCGTGATTTACTACTGGGATAACTCTAGACCACAGGAGGAGTGTAAATTCAAAAACACAATAAAATTCACGCATACTTCTTATTTCTGAATTCCATTTGCAATGGTATACACTACAGGGAATTGTTCGTATGGTGATCACAGTGTGTGAAGAAATTTGAAATACTGTGAACACTAGCATATAAAAAGATGATTTTTGTGGGTCCATATATGTGTGTGTGTGTTTTCTATGAAGAATATCAAATGCTAAATTCCTAATAGATTGTGTCCCCAACCAGGAAAGAAATGTTTCATATTCAAAGCAAATATGATGTTGCTGTAATATGTGCTTGGTATTTTATGCACCGTATTTTAGGCAGAAAAATGATTGTGAACTATGGGACAACCGGAATTAATTTCAAGAATTTCGACTATTAAAATTTTTTAATATTTGTCTTCCCTTATCTTTGGTTTGTAAGAATTCTTTTCAGGGTATTGACCCTACGTGGGAGAAAACAATAGAGAAGGAGAGAGAGCAGTTAAAAGTTTGGACCTGATGTATTTGAATCCTAGCTTGATCACTTACTAGTTATGTGACAAATGGGAAAGTTAATTATCTTCTCTGTGCCTCGGTTTCCTCCTTTTTAAAATGGGTACAGTAACAGCATTTACCTGGAAAGATTATCATGAGGATTAATTTAGAAAATCCAGGGAAAGCATTTAGAATGGTGTCTGGTGTATTCAAAGTATTAAATAAATATTAGCTACAATAATTGTGCTGATTACTCTTACTGTTCTACTCCTTCTATTATTGCTGCTGCTGCTGCTCCCCCTCCTCCTCCTCCTCCTCCTCCTCTTACTCCTCCTCCAGTACTACTAATTCTGTTGCTACTACTACTATTTTTAATGAATCACACTATATTCACCACAGGGTAAGCCTCTACTGAATGTAAAGTAAGAGCCTCACTGTTTTACAGACAATGTCTATAATGCTATAGCTCTAAAACACTCCCTTTAATTTAGAAGATAAATGTGAGTACATAGACCTATAATTTAAAAAACTAAGGTTGAGTATTGTTTAAGTTTTCTTATGAAATGTGTTTTGGGATGGTCACCTACAAATGAAATTAACATCTGTTCCAGGTGAACTAGAGTTTAAAATTTTTAATGACTGTGACTCAAAGGAGCTTCTCGAATGTAAGGCAACACAGAGTAATGAAAAGGCATCTTCCCAGGAAGTCTTATTTGGCCATTGTTTTGCTGTTTGATCTTAAGAAAGTCATTAACCTTCTGAGTCCCAGTTTTGTTGTGTGTAAAATAGGCTGGAGTGACTTATTCCGCCTATGCCTCAGGTTTGTCATGAGGCCAAACTCAAAATAAAACTGCTTGGAAAATTGTGAAACAGCATCCTAATATATTCATGGAGAAAAAGTTCTACATAGTGGGTTTCTCTTCTTTCGCCTAGGATACTGTGTTGGCATATGTGAACTAAGAATTCATTTAAAAAAATCTAGTTCTGTGAGGTATCAGTGAAGAGCGTATTAGCTCTTAGATCCATTCTCTGGCAGTCTACTCTACTCTGCATTACGGATGAACTAAGCTCCTTCTAAGGGGGACCAGGGTTTCCCAGGGTTTCATGCTAGTTGGTTTCTAGATGCGTTAAGACAGTGACAGGCCTTGGTAGGACATGGAAGAATAGGAGGAAAGAAGGGTGACACTAAAGTCTATCTCCTGTGTGGGCAGGG